AGCCACAGCTGCCCTGGGGCAGACTGACAGAGGCGGGGCTGCCACGCTGCGCCACCGGCCCCTCTGACCACCAGAAGTAGGCAAGGTGGGTGAAGTGTCTTGCCCAAGGACACAACGGCATGTAGGCATGGCGGGGAGTCGAACCTGTGACTTGCGGGTCCCAAAGCCGGCTGCTCTACCACTACACCACAGCCATTCAATAAACATTTATTTTAACTGTAAAATACAGACTGTAAAAATACTGTTGGATGTTTAGTTTTGTAAATTTTAAAAATATATATTTTAACACGGACGGAGCCATTTTATTTATACGCAAAGCATTCTGGGTAAATGCTAATGCTAAACAATGCTAACGCTAACGAGTTAACTCCTGTTGTTTCTATGTGCTTGGAGCTACTTGTAAATAATTTATTTAGCTTCTGTAAAACCAAATTCCAGTAAGTGTCCTGTGAAATATCTGAAAATAGGATTTAAACGATACAGTCTTTTAGAAAGTGGTCGCTGCAAACTCTTCGGTTTCAACACCTCCTGTTTTTAGGTTGTTGATCCACTTTTATTGTCTTTTTTTCTGACACGCTTTCAGAACACAAACCAAACTTTTATATTTCTCCCGATTGGAGCGGCTGCAACAACCACACACGGCACAGAATTTATTTATTTTGACGCTGAATCAACAGAAGGAAAACGGGGCAGAGTTTACTTCCTGCCTCCCGTCTGCTTTTCATGACGTCTACATTACATCATCAACAACCCAGCAATAGTCTTGAACTCATCCTGGCTTCAATAGTAACAGGAAAACCTCCACGAACCCCACATTATCTACGTTTCAAACGTTTTTTTATAAACACCATAGTGTGTCACATTGTTGATATAATATGATGTTTTTTTTCTCATCTTCCCTTGTGTGGTTTGTAGTTTTTCTGTTGTTAAAGGTAGCACAGTTGTGTTTGCTGCATGACCGGTTTCACCTGTTCCCCCATGTTTGTCTTGTATGTCTTCTTGAATGGGTGTTTCTTAACTGGCCCCGCCCCCTTCTCTGAATGTACAGCACGTTGTGAATTGATTTATGTGAAAGGCGCTATATAAATAAAACTTTAATACTTTTACTTTTTAAAATTGTGATAAAATGGAGTCTGACTCATAAGAATCAACTCTTTATAAAAAGGCTTTTTATTTTTCACTTTGATCCCACAGGACAGTGACCTGTAGAGTTTCATGTTTTAAATATTCCTGTTTCCCTTCGTTATAAGTTCACTGTATAATTGTTTATTTATTTTCTGATTTCAAACCCTAGCGAACCTGTCCTCTACATGTTTCTGGTTGTTTCCTCCTGCAGTCTGATGGGACGGTGGTGCTGATCATCTTTCTGGTGCTGCTGGCTCTGGTGGCGTTGGCCCTCATGTGGTGGTTCTGGCCTCTCTGCTGCACAGTGGTGAGTCCCACATCCCTTCGGTTAACCACAGCTTCTGTCTCTACTGATGCAACAAGCCTAAAGATTTGTGAAAAATGTTTGATTTAAACCTAAAATAAGTCTTTCTTATTGCTGCTTGGACACCTGCAAACGTCCCGCTGCTGCAAATAGAGATCTGGTGTGTGTTAGGCCAGGTTCACTCCTTTCTCACCACCTGTGTGGATTACACCGCCTCAGAGAGGAAGTGAAGAAACCACATCCTGTCGCTCAGCGGCTGATGGCTGCACGAGCTCAACCTCTGACAGGAAACTGAAGTTACTTTCTGCAAACAAAACAAAGCAGGGATTAAACAAACCTGATGAGAGACCCAGCCTGGGACAGAAGTAATTCCTAATAATACCAGAGATTTTTTTTCTGCTTTAATCTTGTTGAATCTGTTTATTCTGCAGCTTAAACCGTGTCTCCTGATCCTGTCAATCAGCTTGTTATTCTCAGCTGCACTTTGTTTTGATCCGTTTCTTTTATTCCTTTTTCTGCTGTCGTTTCAGAGTTATGCTTTTTATTTGTAGTTTTTCCACAAACAACTTTTAAAACCATCAGGAAGAGAAGCAGGAGGTGAAAGTGTCCAGATTATTATTTATCAAAACAAATCAGAAGATGTGATCTGAGCTTTTACAATTGTCCAGTTTAAATGTCTCAGACTGGTCCCAGTATCTGTCCAGTTTAAATGTCTCAGACTGGTCCCAGCATCTGTCTAGTTTAAATGTCTCAGACTGGTCCCAGCATCTGTCT